GAGAAGGGGGAGGGAGGAGGAGGAGAAGAAGAAGAAGAAAGACAGACTCATGGGTTGATTCAAGTTCAAGAGAAGGCTCTGACCCAGGGACAGGATAACTGGACACTGACCTAGTTTACTTTAAAGGAGGACAAAGGCATATGACTAGAAGGAAGTAAAGGAAGTCAGGTATCTAGAAGCAGTCAGCTGAACAATTTTGAAATACCCAGTGATGATCTTGAATGAAAGCTATGAGTATGAAGAAAAAGGAGTTACTATGAGAGCTCTCCTGAACGAAAAACAAGAATGTGGCAATAAATAGGATAGAGGTCTCATAGGTATTGATAGAGTAAACATGGTGGGCATGTGGTGGCATGATAGTTGGAAAAATCACTCAGGATAAGGAGTGATCTTGACTGCCAAAAGGCAAAGTAAAACCAAGAGACATCATCTAGTGAGATTATCACGAATCTGAACCAGTTACTGGGATATGGAAAGGTCGGAAACAGACATCAAGAGGAACCAGAAGAGAGGAGACCTTAAGGAAAGTCCCACTGTATGTATCAAAAGCATGATCCAGGAATATGAAGTTGAAAAAGAAGAGAGAGAACTGCAATGTGTAGACAAAGATGAGTCTAGCATCAGTTTCTTGAAAACTAAGGTATTTAGGAACTATTTATAAAACTCCCAAAATAATCTTCCTAAAACAGATGTAATCACATCATTTTCCTACTCAAAAAATCTTTAGTGGTCCTTTATTGCTTCTAGAATAAAGTATCTAAAACTTCTCATCATCTGGCACTAGCCTACCTTCACAACATAGTTCACATATGTTTTCCCTGTCACATACACTATATTACAATAAAACTGGCCTACTTTTGATTCCATGGACTTAGCTTTCCATCTCTTGCCTCCACACATTTAGCACAGGATTATATCTTACTAAAACAGCTAGGTGTTGCGGTGGATAGAGTGCTGGGCTGGGAGTCAGGAAGACTCATCTTTCTGAGTTCAAATCTGGCTACAGACACCTATAAGCTACGTGACCCTGGGCAAGTCTCTTAACCTTGTTTGCCTCAGTTTCCTCATCTGTAAAATGAACTGGAGAAGGAAATGGCAAACCACTCCAATATTTCTGCCAAGAAAACCCCAAATTGGGTTACAAAGACTCAAACACAGCTGAAAAATGACTGAATGACATCCTACTGGGAATGAATTCTGTCTTTATCACTTCTTAGAACTCTTAGCTTCCTTCAAAGCTCAGTTCAGGTGCTGAGTTATTCATGCTTGGCACCCTCAGGTTTTTTGGTATATACTTCAAATCAAGTCAACATTTATGAAGCACCTACTGTGTGTCAGGCACAAAAAGTCAGACAGGACTGAAACATCTCAAAAACAACAGCAACATGTGCCAGGAATTTGTGCTAAGTGTTTGGGATATGAAAAAAGGGCACAACAAAAAAAACCAAGTAAACAAAACAAGTCCCTGCTCTCAAGATGTCCGAAATGTAATGGGGGAGGCAACGTTACAAACAACTTTGTACAACGATATAAGCAGGATAGATTGCAGGGAGTGTCAGAGTAAAGGCCGCAAGATTAAGGAGGATAGCAAAGGCTTCTTGCAGAAGATGGGACTTTAGCAGAGATTTAAAGGAAGACAGGGAAGACAGGAGATGGAGATGAGGGGAAAAAGAGATCCAGGTTTAGGGACAGACAATGAAGATGCCCAGAGGGTAGTGTGTGAGGAACAGATCCAACGTTACTGGATCACAGATTACTAGGTGGGGAGAAAGGTGTAAGACTGGAGGGGGCAGCTAGGTGGCGCAGTGGATAGAGTTCTGGTCTTGGAGTCAGGAGATCTTGAGTTCAAATCTGCCCTTCTGACATTTGACACTTAACTAGCTGTATGACCCTGGGCAAGTCACTTAACCCTGATTGCCTCACCAAAAAGCAAAAAACAACAACAAAAAAGCCTATAATACTGGAAAGGTAGATGGAAAGGCTCGCTTATTTGTTTACATTGGATCTCCCAGTAGAATATAAGGGACTATTTGCTGTTTTTTATATTTGTATCCTTGGTGACTAGCATCATACATCACATACAGTATGCATATGACATATGTTTGATGACTTGAAGTCTTTTAAATTGATAAACATATCGTGGCAACACTGTACATTAAACAACCCAATCCTGAATTCTGCCTCTGCCACCAATAACCCAATCCATATCGCAACCTGAATATTCAGCTTCTCTATCCGCCCAATGTGCAAAATACCATCAACTACTGTCTTATCATTTCATGTACTACTATACGCATCAAATGAATCCAAGGCTGCGTCATTTCATTAGTACAAGAACTACCAGTACAGGAACTCCCTTCACCAGAGGAGAGCACAATTCACCTATGAATCGAGAGATAAGTCCTTAGGGGGTGAATGCAGCACGCACAAGTTCAGTGACTCAAATAAGGTTGCAAAGCTATCAAACATCAGAAGCAGAATTTGAACTAGGCCTTCTGACTCTAAGCCCAGTAATCTAACCACTATGCTACGGTTCTCCCAATTAGGAAGACAAAAAGAATCTTTGGTGTTATTACATTACATTTTATAATCATATTACGTTACATAATCATAAATCAGATGTAACAAATAACAGTAGATTCTATCCATGAAGTAAATGCCTGTTGGTTAACTGATTCATTGATGGACCTGAGGACTTTTGCCTCTCTCTAGAGGCAGTTAGGTGGTACAATGGATAGAGCACAGCTGGGCCTGGAGTCAGGTAAATCTGGCCTCAGACATTTACCTACCGGGGGTGGGGAACCTGTGGCCCTCTAGGTCCTCAATGGCGGCCCTTTGACTGTTTGGATTCAGTTAAAGGGCTGCACTCGAGGACCTAGAGGGCCACATGTGGCCTCAAGGCCACAGGTTCCCCACCCTTGCCTAAGCAAGTCACTTAATCACTTCCAGCCTTGATTTCCTCATTTGTGAAAGGCACATAATACATTCACCTAACTTCTAAGATTAGGCTCAAATGAAATGATATTTGTAAAGTGCTTAGCATAGCACCTAGCACATAGAAGATGCTTAATAAAATGCTGCTTTCTTTCCTAATTTCTTTAATTTCAAAAAATCTATAACCTCTAGGGAAAAATAATGGACTCCTTTGTTTCGCATTTAAGCCCTCGGCAATCTGGTTCCAATCTATTTTTCCTGACTACACTGATTTCACATTATTTTCCTACAAAGTTGCAGTTAAATTGGCTTACCTGCCCTTCTCTAAACACAACATTCAATCTCCCACACACTTAAAATGCCCTCTCTCCTCATCACCATTACCTGTAATTCCTAGCCTCCCTCCAGGTTCAGCTCATCTATGAGAGGTTACAGGAATCCTACACTGCTGGTGTTAATGTGTCCCTCTCTCCCCCAAATACTTTGTTTTTATTTTGACTACTGTTGGGTTAAATTAGTTGTGTAAATATCATAATCCCTGCCTCCAACCCCCAGCAACACAGCAAGAACGTAAACTCTCTGAAGGCATCAGGATATGTTGCTTTTCTTTTCTTTTTTTTCCCCTTTATCTCCTCAGCACCTACACCACAGAATCTGGCCCACAGTACATGTTTAATATCTCTTTGTTGAATGAACTAATAAATAAATTGCTTTTTCCTAAAACTGCGCACTTCTGAGTTTGTAATTATCACATCTGGCAAAGTAAACATACAATGAAAGCTTTGATCCCAAAATAAATATTAACTTTAGTTCTAAACACTTTCAGAAATGTCTAAAAAACACCAATTTTCTGGAACTACAAAGAACTTTTCATTTTATTAAATTCACTATATTTAACAGTCTCTGATGCCTCCTAGTGGAAGTCATACATAGCTGCAGAAAAAAACAATCCCTAAAACTGTACAACAAATTGGAGTAAAACAAAATGTTGTTTTAGTCCTATTTTCCTAACAAACTTAAAATTTCCTCATGAAAACATAAAAACCAAGAAACTCAAACTGAACATCCTGAAATTTATTGTAATATATTTTGTAAGCAAAAGGGCATTTAATTTCACAACCTATAATTCTAAGTCTCTCCTATATTAAGCTGTAACAGATAACAATTTATAAGTCCATAGTTCTTTACCGGGAATCTACAGACCATCAAGAGATCCATGGATAGATTTCAGGGTGTTAGCGAACTTGCATGAGAAAAAAAAATACATCTTTATTTTCACCAAGCTCTATCTGAAATTTTAAAATTTCCTCCAATTATGTTTTAAAAAAAAAACCAAGATAACATTCAGAAATGATGTGCAGAGACTTCACTATACTACCAAAAGGCTCTGTCACACAAAAACGGTTGAGGACTTCTGATTTATATCAAGGTCAGCTGAAGTCATCATTAAAAAATATCAGTTTTAATTCACAAATCCTGAACTCTGTAGGATATAAATGTATTTAGCACCTTTTGATGCAATTCTAATGGATGAGCCTTTTTCTAAAAATATAATTCCAACTCATTTTTTATTAAAGTCAATAAGAAACTAAGATTGTTTCATATGCTCATCCGCATGTGTTAATACTTCTATCTGTGCAACTTAGAATGATAGGTGGATGTTTCTGAGAAAAGCTCTAAAGAACTATTAGCAAACTAATAAATTATCCTTCGTTGACACTTCAAACAAGCAAATTGTTCCTTTCTTTATCTAGAAGATTACACCTTGTTTACTATTAGGCATCAGGTTTGAAAAGAAATGAAGGGGACTGCACTTCACAGATATGTATGAGTTTCACAAGTCTAGCATTCCATAACAGCAAATCAAGATCAATCCTCATTGCCTTCCCTTGGAAAAACCAGGGAGCAAGATGGTATACTTTTCTTAGACAAGCTGACATTAAACTTTCAAAGTTAAATATGAATAAGAATTTAATTTATGGCTTTGACTGGTAACGTGAATGTCAGCTGACTCAGATGCATAAGGGTATACATAGCAATGACAGTAAAATTTGTCCCTATCATGTAAGCTCCTTGAGGGCAGGAACTGTCTCTCTATGTTTCTGTATGCACAGTGCCTAGCACATGACAAGAGTTTACTAAATGCTTATTGATGGCTCTTACGAATATGCCCCTACAGCTGATAACAAATTTAACCCGTGAATGTTGTATAATATTACATTCTCCTTAAAATAATTGAAACCCAACCTCTTTCTGTTTTATGCCCAGATTCCTCCAAACCCTGTTTCTGACCAAAATAATATAATTAAATGTACTTTTATTTGAATTTTTATGTAAAAGAATTTCGGCACCCTAGAACAAAACCCAGGTCACAAGAATGTATGACATAGAGTAAAGTACTGGGGATGGTTTAATGGTTGTTTGGAGGCCAAAAAAAAAAAAAAAAACTGAAGCAGAAGGTTCAAGGAAAAGCATTTTATTGATTTTTATAAGGATTGCTATGAATCAGGAATAAATGCATGGAATTGAAAAAGAGGCAAGAAGTCAATAACATGTAAAAGTATGGAATTCCACATCTGTGGGCTTAGAGGAAATGACATGACAATGTGGTTTCAGTGGGTTGACACTAAGATCTAATTTAGGGTCTGTCAACAGTTCTTTATGTTTCATTTCCTGCATTGTAATAATAATAATTGTGGGTATTTCTATAGGCTAGAGACTTGCAGTGAACTATGTATACAATTGTTCATGTGTGTGATCCTCAAAACCCATGAAATAGATACAGCAAGGATATAGTAAGCATCTACTTTGTTCCAGGCATGTGGTAGATGCTGGATATATAAAGAAAAAGAAAGAGACAGAAACAGAAGACAGACAGAGAGGGGAGATGGAGGAGGAGGGAAAGGGAGGAAGAGGGAAGAAGAGAGAAGGAAGATGTGGAGAAAGAGAGGAACACGGGCAGGAGAGAAGGGAGAAGGGTGGGAAGGGAGGAAAAAAAGGAAGCAAGGGAGGGAGAGAGGAAGGAAGAAGGAAGGAAGGGAGGGAGGAAGGAAGGAAGGAAGGAAGGAAGGAAGGGAGGAAGGAAGGAAGGAAGGAAGGGAGGGAGGAAGGGAGGAAGGGAGGGAGGAAAGGAGGGAGGAAAGGAGGGAGGAAAGGAGGGAGGAAGAGAGATAGGGAAGAAGAGAGAATTTCCAGATTTCTGCCCTCAAATGGGTTTATATTAACCATGAATGAATGAACCTAAAATAAGTATACCATTACAAGTAGTCTCTCCTATATTAATCTGAAATATAGCAAGGACACAGTAAATATAAACGTATTATTGGATACAATTATAATGGAAGTGGTGGGTGGTTTTTTTTTTTAAGAGAAGAAAATTGCAACTTGTGCTAGGTTAAAATTTAGAGGAAGTCAAATAGTTTGCACGCACAGCTGGGGTGGATGATACCCTTATCTGGGAAAATGGGAATGACAAGAGACTGTTTCAGAATGAAGACCTACAGAACAAGAGCAAATTAACAAATTATCCCTTGCTGACACTTCAGACAAATAAGCTAATTGTTCATTTGCAGATGACAAACTGATGCTTGTGGGAGCCCTCCTGACTTGCAAGATTTCTGAAACCTTTACAATGACCCAAGCACTGCTTTAGGGGAGAGGGATCTGTGTACAAGGAACGATATAATTCTTACTTGCAAGAAGCTTCTAACAGACTGGCTAGGCCTTGTGCAAAAAGTCAGATAGGCTGAGTGATCTGCCCAAGGTCACAGAAGGAGTGACAAAGCTAACATGTGAATTCCTGGTTTCTTTCATTTGGTTTCTTTCATTCCAAATCTAGTCCTCTTCACCAAAACTAGTAACAGTATGTTCTAAAGCGGAGGGTGTCTAACTTTATTTTTGAAGAGTCTGGAGTTATTACATATAAACAATGATAATGGGACTTTGAATCCATGATCATGGCAGTCCAAGGCAAGGATTCCCTATCTGTGCCATGTATCTTCATCCAACACACATTTTTTATCTTATTCTTTTTCTCTTTTAAAAATATGCTTTATAACAACAACAAAAAAAAAAAAAAGATAATAAGCTTGAGGTCAAGTAAAAGAGCTCAACTAAGTGACTATTTCCTTGGAAAGTTGGCCCAAGGTTATCTCAGGGAAAAAAATGGCTCTCAGAGCCCCATAACACAACTCCTGGTAGCTATAATGAAAACTAGAAATACTTTTTTTAAGGGTCTGAATGTTCTAAATGACTAAAGAAAGAGGCAAAACCAATGAATCCATATTGGTATATATCAGAAATATTTGAGTAAGGAATTAAAAAAAAAAACGTTCCCATTGTGTACCTCTAAATATACTGGTTTGTTCCTTCACAAATTTGCCATCATGGATTAAAACAAACAAGCAGCAACATGAGGAAAGAAGTAAAATGAGCATCTACAGAGATTCATATTGATATTTCATTTATATAATAATACAGTGAGACAGTTTAAAAAATTAGAAGGCAAAGGAAAGAAAAGAAGCAAAATGGGAATCGTTTCTCTGAAAAACAGGGTCTTTGTACTTTAAAAATAATTTTTTCTATCAGACACCAAAAGTCTAAGGGGAATTATTATTCAAAAATGATTGTCTTGTGATGATTTATGCAAGGAAATCGATATTTTGAATCAAATTAGTTATCAAGAAAGAAGTAAACACACATGGGGCAAAGTGCAGGGAGAATAGAGTAATATCTGTATTACAAATGACCAGTCAGTCTCTCATGTAATAAAAACCAACTTACATCACTGAGCATTTTGCTGGTTTTCAAAGCATGGTCTAAAAATAGGCTTGGGAGATAGGAAACTGGATCATGGATCATCTGAGCATCTTTCTTGTACTGCACCTATAAAATAATATAGAACAAAATGCAATCCAGCAGAAGACACAGTAAGCTCTATTTTAAAAGCAAAATATGACAATAATTGTGTTGGCAAGTGGCCTGATTAATTCCAAGTGGCCACTAGATGGTGCTCATTCACTTCTGAACAAGTAGAAAATTCAATTATACAACCATTTCCATTTTCAGATGCTGAAAAAACGTTTTGATAGGCACTCCAATTGTTCATAAAAAACAAGGGAGCAAAGTTAATTGAGTCACTTTTTTTTTTTCAAGAAATCACTGCTTTTCAAAATCAAAAAAAAAGAATAAAATGTATAACTTAATTCCTCCAAACCAATCCTTTAGTGTTTGACTTATGATTTGTGAGAACATTATTTAATCTTCTACTGACCTTGAGTTCACATGAAAATTTATAAAAATGTTATTTTTTTTTTAAAAAAAAGAATCAGTATTCTTTATGATCTTTTCCCTTTGCAGAATATTTCACATTGATTGCTTGGGAGGGAGGAAAGTGGAATGAATCTAATCTATTCTAGGAAGTCCTCAATAACCTGCATTTATTAGATCTTGTCTTTATTTTCACTATACTTTTATTTAATAAGATCTGAAAAAAAGATAATGAAATAAGAACAACAACAAAAAAAGAAACTCAAGATTCCTAATGCTATGGAAGATAAGAATAGCAACTTGTAGCTATAAATATAAATTACAAGAACACGTCCTTCCTATGGGATTATCCATGAAATCAAGATCCCCTAATTCCTGAAGGACTTGCCTTGAGTTAAAGGTTGAAATGGTTTAACAAAACATTATTCAATAATTTAAAGATTTTTTTTCAATAAAACATTTATGTTCAACTGAAGCAAAATGCGTGTTTTTTTTCTAATTATGGGGCATAGTTAGGAATGTGAAGCAAAAGAAAAGCCTAAAAATAGGTATTTTAGGAGGTAAATGTTTTCTAATTAATTATAAAAATAATTTGGAATCTATTTTTTTTTAATAAAAGACATTGAGGACTCAGTTTGTGGACTACAGAGTGAAGGACTGTCAGTTACATGGAAAATTTGTACTACGCGCCAGCCTTCTTTTTTTTTTTTTTTTTTTTGTTTATTACAAGATTTTGGATATATTCCTGAAAAGTTGCATCTAAATGTAATTGTTTTAATTTTATTGTATTTTCACACTGACTTACATTATTATTTTAAAGAAATATAAAGAGCTTATCCATTTGTGACAGTCATTTGGCCATTATTTTTTGCTTATGAAAACCAATAGTTACGAATGCAGAATACAGGTTTCTTTTTTCTTTCCCCCATAATAAAGATATTTAATGAACAGAGACTTGGCCTCACTCAGAGACCTGATCTAGTACAGCCTTTGATCCAGCCTAGCTATATGACAATCTATGAGCCATTTAACCCCTCAATGTCCCCAAGCAACTCTTTAAGTGTGTAAGCTATGAAGTAGGTGTTGACCTGCATCAGTGGATGGAGTGGAAACATTGAGAGTTCCCTACATAGATGACACCACGAGTCTGGAAAAAGAACAGGGATGAGAAAGGAGAGGGGAGGGAAGAATGAAAATAAATGGAAGGAGAAGGGGAAAGAGGGATGGAAAAGGGAAAAGAAAGAAGGAGGCAGAAAGAAATAGGGAAAGAGAAAAGATGATGAATCTGGGTCCATGGTCTGTCTTTTCAAAAAATCAGATTATCATATGGTGGAGCTCAACCAAATGCACAAAGTCATTTTGGTCCCAATCATAATCTAGGATTTTAAAAAAATTGTCAATCTACTAAAGAACTGCCACTATTTGTTTTTTTTTTCTTTCTTTCTTTCTTTCTTTGTCTTACTATTTGGTTTTTGCTTTTAACTCTTTGCTGTTTAGCCCTGACATTGTTTGGAAAAGAAAGCAACTAACTTCAAAGAGAATAAAGGCCAATGAAAATCAGCATGTGTGTATGTGTGTGTGTGTGCACACACACATATGTACACACACATACATACACACATATGTATTGTAGATATATATATGTATATACACACACAAATAAATGAAGAACCAAATCACATTTATTTTTTTTTCCTTAAAATGTTATTTAAAAATCACTGCACACAATCCTTTTCAACAAAAAAAAAAGTCAATTGATTCTCAATACTGAATATAGTAGCAACGGAGAAGACTTTTTTTGGTTTTCTTTTGTTGTTGTTGTTGTTTCTGGTCACACACATACCCTCTATAGATTTCAGGATAATAAAAATAAACAAATGAACTTACATCACTTGCAAGGGTAGCTGCAAACTGACTTTGCCTAAAAGAAGCACTTTCAAGAGGATTATACTGGTGTTTCTTATCCTTCATTTCGTTATCAAATTTTTCTCTGTATTTAACCTGTGGTCAAAAAGAAAAGAAGAATAAAGCACTTCCCTTCACTCTGTAAGAGTATGACAGATTGATAAAGAATGTGGCAATAATACATTTGGATCAATTAAAATAACTTTAGAAATGAATTGCTAAGACTTGAAAGTCTGAGCCATATAAAGCTGTGTCAGACGCAAAGCATCAAAAGTTGCCTTTAACACTGAAGATGATTGCCTTCAGAGACGTGCAGTAGCTGGCATCCTAGCCAGAAGTCAGTCACAAAGCCTATGTGTATATCCAGGCTGACATTTCTCAGGGAATGTTTGTATTTCTGCATTACAATATGCTATAATGACGTGTATACAATACACATTTCTTTACGCCCCTAGATGCCACCAGATAAACATAGGTCAATGAAGATATCCCTGTGTAATTTAATTCATAGAAAAACAGTGAAGTACATGGCAGTTTGAAAAGGTGGTCAATCATCCACTGTTTCTAATGTCCCTTAACACTTTGACATATGTTCTTCTGCCATCAACTGTGGGGTTAAATAAATTAGCCTCAGTTAATAATTCCACATTTAAATTCTCAACAAATTGTTTGCCCGTGGCTTTGGACATTTATTGTTGCAGCTGCACACACAATGCTGAGATTTCTACTATTTAACCCATGTTATTTATTTTGGAGCTACTAAGTGGAATTACAAATAGCCCAAAGGGCAAGGGAAAGACTTCAGTGAATTGTAACATATTACCAGGATGACTTGGAAACAAGTGACATGAAAGACATTACAAAGGTTGTACATGGCTAGAGATGGGATGTTCATATAGCAGAAACTAACCAAGATAGATGGATAGCCCCAGTAATACACGGGAAACCCCCCAGCTGATGAAAGACTAAGAGGAGGGTCTCTAAGGAAGACCTATGAAAAGTCATTCTCAAGAACAGCCCATGCTACTACAGGGAGAAAATGGCTGCTTCCAATAGCCCTAATGGAGGCTCCAGTTTCCTTCTCACTCTGAGCTACCTTATGAGACACATGCTAGCTATGGGACCAAAGGTAAACTACTCCACCTCTCTCAGTGTGCCTAGGCACAGAGAAGTCACTGTTCTACTTTATTAGAGAATACTAGGAGTTCAGCACTAATGAAATCACAAGTCTGGACCAAAAAAAAAGAAAAATCACAAGGTTGATATGTGATGGGCCCGGAATTGGGAAGACCTCAGTCCAAATCTTGCCTCAGACACTTACTAGCTATGTGACATGGACAAGTCATTTAGCCTCTGTCTGCCTCAGTTTCCTCAGTGGTAACATAGGAATAATAATGGTACTTACTTCTCAAAATTGTGAAGCTTAAATAAGATTACAAATATTAATTTGTAAAGCACTTAGTATAGTGCCTGGCACATAATAGCTGCTTAATAAATGCTTGTTCCCTTCTTTTCTTCTTTCTGTCGTACTTGTCCAACAACAATAATACCACATATTTTTCTTCATACGTTTAACGTATCTGTTCTGCAGTATTTGTTGTTATTTATTTTGGAAAGTAATTTTAGTGTAAATAACTTTCATTCTCACTGAGCATATGCCAAGAAATAGTCATCCAAAACAGAGATATCGCTAGCAACATTTCTGGGTGGGCTTTCGATAATCTTGGTAGGCACATTAAATTACAGGCTGTTCAGAAATTCTTTTTTCTTTTTTTTTTTTTTTTTGACATTTTATGGCTTTTCTATCACATTCCCCATGGCCACTATTTCCTAACATTTTCCATTCTCAAGGCCCCAGCCTCATTCCTAAGCCATATTCTCAATTGGTTTTGCTGGTTACCCCACTGCTATCTTGCCTAGGCAAAGTGAGCTGCTCCTATTATACTCCTCCACCCTTCAGAAATTCATCCTTCTGCTACTCTTACCTCTGAAGAGTGGAGTTTCTGTTCTTGAGCTTTTACCTGGGACCTTATCACTCTGCTCTTTGCCAGGTTCTTACTCCTTCAATGATTCCATTTCTCTTACATCTTCATTCTCTCATTGTGTGCTGACTCCTTCTTTGCAGCCTACAACTACGGCTCTAGGGTAACCCTATTCTGAATATCCGATGCAACATTTCCACCACTTTTCTTCCTTTCAAAATGCAAGCATTGCCTAGAGCTCTGTGCTTGGATCTCTTCTCTTCTCTTTCCACATTTTATCCCTTCTTAACCTCATCCACTCCCACAGCTCTATTCATCACCACAAAGTAGATGAATGAAGGCTACATTCATTCCCTTTAGCCTTGACTTCTACACTTCGGCAGATGGCTAATAGCCTACTCAACACCAGCATATCAAAGTACCAGCGTCTCAAAGTCAACATTTCCCAAATAGAACAAATTGTCTATTCTACTCTTCTTTTTGACTCTTATCTGTCTATTAATGGCACCAACATTTTTCCTATGCTCAAAACCAAGAAGTTATTCTTAATAGACCTCCTACCTCTCACATCCCACCCCTATAATCCAGGGCCCTCCTGGGCCTCCTCCTTTTCTCTAATTTCTCAGTGACCTCATCAACTTCCATGGGTTCAACCATCATTTCTATGGCAAAGACACCCAAAACTAAATATACAACTCTCATCTCTCTTCTGAGCTTCAATTTTGCTTCCATCAATTGCCTCCTGGAATCAACCCAAGGAATCTTACACTCAACGTGTCTAAAACAGAACTCAGTATTTTTTCCCCTAAGTCTACTCCTGCTGCAAATGTGCCTGTTTCCATCAAAAGTACCACCATATTTCAATTCACTCAGATTTACAAAATTGGAGTGATCCTTGACTTTTTTTCTCTCTCTTATCAATGTCAAGTTGCAATACTTTTCCTTCACAATATCTCATGAATCCATTACCTTTTCTCTATTCAAACTACAAACACCCTCATTCATGACCTAATCACCTCTCTCCTAAATTATTTCAATACCTTTTTAATTGGTCTCCTTGCCTCAAATCTTTTCCCTCTCCAATACATCTTTCTTACACTTGCCAACTTGGTGCTTCTAAAGCACAATTCTATTTGTTCTTCTATTTTTCATTGGGGAAGAAGGTAGTTGAAAGAAGAAAAAAAATACTTTATTAAGTAAGATCAATTTAATAATATTTTTTAAAAAAGAAACTGATCTGATATAAAGAGATAAGGAGTAGTATTGGGTATTAAGAAAATATATTGGGGCAGCTAGGTGGAACAGCGGATAGTGCACCGGCCCTGAAGTCAGGAGGACCTGAGTTCAAATATGGCCTCAGACCAAACACTTGACACTTATTAGCTGTGTGACCCTGGGCAAGTCACTTAACCCCAATTGCCTAAAACAAAAACAAAAACAAAAAAAAAAAGAAAAGAAAATATATCCCTGTGTGAATTTCGAATATTCCAAGAGCAAAAGTATAGTGTATTTATTTCTTGGTTTTTGTACTTGGATAGAGAGACAGAGAATAATCTTTATAAAGAACTACCAACCACCCAGGTATAGATCATCAGATTTGATATCAGATATGTTAATAAAAAAAAAAAACCTGGGAAGCAAAATCTAAAAATGAGAGGGAATTTCAACCAAACTATCTCAACATGGATTGGAAATTAAAATATGAAAACATACTTATCTGATGAATTGCTTATTTGCCTTTCTGATAATTTTCTTTACACAGTAATAGAAGCAACAAACATTGCTATCTTGGATTTCATTCTTACCCCCCAACAAAAAAAATTAGCTGATAGCATGAAAATGACAAAAAAAAACTTTGGGAAAAAAGCAACCATTTGATTTTTGTTTTAACATTTATTAAAAAGGAATCGAAGCCCAGGACAAGAAAGAAGATATCACAAGAAAGCAGGTGGTCTAAAGTATTCAAATACCCTAGCCCAGAAAAAGTGCATATGTGACAGTAGAATCAAAGCTGGCAGTCTTTGAAAAGAATGGGACAGATGTCAGAAGTCCAGTAAGGAACAATTGTGTCATTTTTTTTTAAATCCAGTATGCTGCACCACTTCTTATCCTGATCCTTTATCTATCACTAAGGGACTTGAGATTATTGTTGATTGTGTAATCAAGATCTTCAACAAAATCCAGAAATCATTCAAAAGAGTTTTGCCTAATTCTTCACACAGGAATAACCAAATATATAAAACAAAATTCTAATACGTAACTAGATAGATAACCTATGGATCCTATCTATCACCAAGTATGTGTATCTTGAATAGACATTACAAATGGACAACAAGTTAGGCCCAAAAGTGGTCAGAAGGAAGAAAGGAGGCTGGATCGCCTTTAGGAAGTCACAAAAATTAGTTTCCAAGAATCTCTGTGAAACAAAGGCCCATGTTTTTAATGCCAGTATTCTTCTATGGAAAGCCAATATAATAGGGAGCTCTCCTTGGAACAAAGAAGATCTGGATTCACATCCTACCTCTTGGCATTCTGGCTCCATGAACCTGGGCAAGTAATTTAACCTCTCAGTGCTCTAGGCAACTAAAATGATAAATTGAAGAGAGAGTACTGACTTACATTGTAGAGGGAGTTCTTTCAACTGGGAGTTCCCTGTATTGATGAAATCACAGATCTAGTCCATATCCTCTACTTTCTATTCTGCTTGTGAGAGGCAGGATGGTATAGGGATATAGAAAGCTAGCCTCAGAGTCAGGAAGACCTGCTTCAAGTCTTCTCTCTGACCCATAATGGCTATGTAGCCCTTAGTAAGTCACTTGATCTCTTCATGCCCGAGGTAAGACTTTAAAACTAGAAGTTGAAGAGAATATTCCTGCCTACATTGGTAGAGGGAATCCTCTCAGCCAATGAAATCCCAGGTCCATTCTTCCTAAAATGCATGGATGTGACTCATGGAACACTATGGTCTCCAAAGAGCTAAAATTGTGGCTAACATAAAAGGGCAATGAAGAAGCTCATTGTGTTGGTGTGTATAGAATGCAAGACATTACAAACCAGGAATAATGACTGATAAAAGAAAATGGGTTGGACATGAGGAAAGGGCAAGAGATGATC